TAATTCTAAAGAGCAAACTAATGAGACTGCTTCACAGAAATAGATGAAGCTACAAGGCTAAACCCCACTCAACATGAAAATATTGAAGAGGGTGTACAACAATTTGATGAAAATGTTGTTGACACGGATGAAGGTGAAGTAGGTCCGAGTGAAGTCGAAACTGAAATAGAAAGCCCAAATGTTCCCACTATTGAAACAAGTGCTTAAGATTATCAATTGGTGAGATATAGGGAAAGAAGACAAATCAAACCAAATCCAAGATATGAAATAAATAATTTGACCGACTTTGCCCTTATCTCGAGTGAATCTTTAGAGTATTCAGAACCTTCATCATATGAAGAGGCTATGAATAGCTCTAACTCTGAAAAAATGGAAAGATGCAATGAAAGAAGAAATGAAATCTTTACTTGAAAACAACACATGAAAATTAGTGAAGAAACCAAAAATCGAAGAGTTGTTCAATGTAAATGGATTTTCAAACTAAAAGACGGGATTGTGTCATCTGATCCCTTAAGATATGAAGTGAGACTAGTAGCCAAAGGATTTACTCAAAAAGAGGGTGTTGACTACAATGAAATCTTCTCATCGGTTGTCAAATATGAGACCATAAGGCTGATGCTTGCACTAGTCGTTCAGTTCAATTGGGAACCTGAACAATTAGATATCAAGACGGCCTTCTTACACGGTGAATTAGATGAGGAGATCTATACAAATCAACCTCAAGGGTTTGAAGTAAAGGAGAAGGGAGATTATGTGTGCAAGTTGCAAAAGTTATTGTATGGGCTCAAACAAAGTCCAAGGTAGTGGTACATTAGGTTTGACACATGTGTTGAAGATTGGTTTCAAAAGGAGTGAATATGATCGCTGTTTATAATATAATAACACTAGGGTTGGTAGTGAAGTTTATTTACTTCTATATGTTGATGACATGCTATTGACCAGCTCTACTAAAGCTGAAATTTTGGGACTTAAAGGGCTTCTAAAATCAGAATTTGATATGAAGGACTTGGGAAATGCCAAAAAAATTTTGGGAACGGTTATCAACAGAAATAGGCAAGTGAACATTTTAACTATCACACAAAGTGCTTATTTGAAAAAAATTATGACCAAATTTGGCATGAAAGAAGTTAAGAAAGTTAATGTACCTCTTGCAGTCCATATGAATTTATCATCATCTCAGTCTCCTAACACTAAAAGTAAAATGGAAGAAATGAAAAATATCCCATATGCTAATGCCATAGGATGAGTCATCTTTTCTATGATTATTACTAGGCTGGATTTGGCTTATGCTATAAGTTTCTTAAATAGATTCATGTCTAATCCGAGGAAACCTCATTGGGCGGGGCTAAAATGACTTTTAAGATACATTGTTGGAACATTAGATGTGGGATTGGTGTTTAAAAGAAGAACTGAACAGCTCACTTTAAAGGGGTATGTAGACTCCGATTTTGCCGGTGATAAGTACCAAAGAAAGTCTACTACCGCCTATTTCTTCACACTTGGGAATAATTGCATCACAAGAAAGTCACAACTTCAATCTATTGTCACATTATCCAGCACGGAGGTTGAATATGTGGCAATAATCGAATCTGTAAAAGAATGTATTTGGTTGAAAGGAATTTTGGGGAAGTTGAATTTTTTGCAAGGGTCACCCGTTATTTTCAGTGATAGTCAAAGAGCTTTACTTTTATGTAAAAATTTGGTTTATCATGAAAGATCTAAACATATTGAGGTGAAGTACCATTTCATACGTGAAAAAATTGCTTGTGGTGATGTTATACTTGAAAAAATTAATACTGATGTGAACCCATCTGATATGGGAACCAAAATTCTGAATGTAGGTAAATTTAAGTCTTGTTTATCTTTACTACATATTGATATGGGTTAATTTCTTTTGCAGATACTAAGAGCGATGATGTAGGGCAAAAATATTACCGTCACATGCATTGTAGCAACTAGAGAGAGCTAGGGGTTTGTGAAAATAAGGTGAAAATCGTGAAATATTTTCAAAACCCAAAAATCACGTTTTTACAAGTGACAAAACGTTTTCTCCATTTGTTGGCCACATGACAGCTTTTTATTGGCAACTTACTCTTCACAAGGATTTGTGTTTGTTTGAAAAATTATGGGCCATTGATCAAATTGGATGGATGAGATTTAGATCCAAATCTTCTCCCACATTGATGTAGATGGTTGGAGAGAGAGACTAGTAGATTCATTCATTATTTCCTCCAGTCAATTGGCAGACTTCTCTCTTCTCTCTCTCCCTTTGGCCTTTTTTTTTAGTTCTACCAAGTTAAATTTTTAGATCCGATTCCGTTTAATTTTTCGGCATAATTTCTGTAGTGAGGCCAGTATTCTGAGCCGGTGATCTAGTGGTTATTTTACAGTTGGTTGACCGGTATTTTGTGTTTTTCGGCAGCGGGTTTTTTTGGTCCGTTTGGTCAGATTTTTAGACTGTAAATTGATACTACATTAGAGTCCAGGTCAACGTTGGTTAGGGCTAATATTGTGAGGCCATTTGTAAGGCCGATGATCTGATTTTCTTGGTGTAATCTGAATCTTGTAAAACAAACTCATGTTCTCTCTTACGAGGTTCTTTACATAGTGACGGGCTTGAGTTTTTGCCTCTGAGCCCCCCATATTAGGCTTGGTCGAACTGGGTGAACAATTTGTGCGTTCTTTAATTTTCTGCAATGTTTTTATTATTGCTGTGGTTGAGTATTGGTGATTGAATTGGGTGACAAATCCCAACAGTTACACGTCTTTATTGCAACATATAGCTTTAGAGGAGGGGAATTAATAGAATAAAATACCATCTTCCTAGAATTAAATGTCAAATATCTCAATGTAAGAAAGTTCCTTTTGATGTTCGATTTAAATTTCAAGTTCTTAAGGATATATCTCAAAAGAAAAAAAAATGCTAAAGAGGCTCATGATTGTACTTTTGAGGATAATTATATAGATTTAGAAATTGGAGGAGAGGAAATTCAAGAAATGCACGTGTCTTCAGAAAAACAAAGGCAAGAAAAAGGGAAGAGGAAAGCAAGTGAAGGGATTGAATGCTCCAATAATTACTCCTGGATCTCAACCTAGCATAAAGAGTATTTTAGTTGGTAAACAAGCAATAGAGAGAGCTCATATGGCTTGGAGTAGGCAGTTTTATGATGCTTGCATTCCATTTAATGCTTTGCAATCACCTTACTTTCAACTTGCTTTAGATGCTAATGCTGCAGTTGATCCAAGATTTAAAGGACCATCTTATAACGACATTTGTGTTAATTTGTTGAGAGATCGCAAGAAAGAATGTCAATTACTTGTTGATAATTATTGAACTCAATGGATAATTAATGGATACAAAATTATGGCCGATGGTTGGAGCAATCAAAGGCATAGAACTTTGAATAATTTTTTAGTACATTGCTCTCCTGAAATTGTATTCGGAAAATCTTATGATGCCTCAAATGTAGTGAGAGATGCTCAAACACTGTGTAATTTGTTTTTCGAGATTCAAATGGGTTGGACCTCCTAATGTGGTTCATATGGTAACTGAAAATGCAGCTAACTATGCGACAGCTGGGAAATTATTGCAAAACATGATCACATTTTTGGCCTCCTTGTGCTGCACATTGCTAGAATTGGACTAGTTCATAGTCTCCCTCCTTCAACCAATCAATCTGATCTAATTTTAACAATGATACCATTATTATTATTATTATTATTATTATTATTATTATTATTATTAACTGTAATGGTATCAAGTGCTTTAGCAATTTGTCTTGCATTAAGAGTTATTTTTGTTAATAGAAAACTTGAAGAATCTCCATTTTTTTAGTTTACCTGAAATGCATAAACAAAGATATTTTAAGAGTACCAAATTATTCCTTCACGAAAGACCACAAGTTATAGTCTTAGAACATAAGAGCAATCAAATTTCCCAGTACAAAAGCTTGCGTATACTAACATGGGATTTCCAGTAAATATGTTTCTCCCCAACTATATAACATATGCATTTCGTCATTATCAGCAGGAAGATAATTAACCACCACCGCCAGAGCCATATTTCTTGCCAAAAACAATGACCTTTAATTTGTCGTAGCCAGCAAGTACACCGGCCCCAGCAACAGCAAGCAGATCGCTGGCTCCAGCACCCTCGAAGAGTGATTTAGTCCCTTCGTTCTCAATGATCTGTCTATGGAGCTCTTATATTTGACAGATTCTCCCGAGGTCATCACCATTCTTCTACGCACAGTGTTAATTGGGTAAGAGGCCAACCCAGCACCCAATTGTGATACTCCATCCCAGCAAGAAACTGGCGAAGAAGTTATCCAGTTGTTCACCAAATACAGTAACACTATGTTAGTAGCCTGCAAACTGGCAACTCTGGTAGGGGACTTACTAATGCAGCAGGCGAATGTAAATCTAATATACTCATCAAACCGAGGAAAAAGAACATGCCAAAGCACATAAAAATGGATCATCATGCAGGTCAAATATCATCATGGCAACACAGCAGAAGTTTACATGGAGAGAACAAAAATTTCACCAAGTTGCAAGGCAGACTTCATTCCAACATCCCAAAGTCATAGAAAACGTGGAAGAAAAGGCAAAGCATCTTATGGATGAAATAAAGTGGCAAATATGGGTTGATGGCATATAAGATAACTTGAGGTTTAGAATCAAGAGTTCAAAGTTTAGAAATCTACTGACCTGTAGAGAACTAACCAGAACTAAAGGTCTCAACGAATTATACATTCCAAAGTAGAGCCCATGGTGGACAAGGATTCCAACACATGAGCTATTAAATACACGGTAAAGCCCAGCAAGACCATCAGATTTGAGTATTTTCTTGTAAATAACAATCAAACCGTTAAACTGCCTTTCACCACACTTTTTGGCAGCCTTAGCATCATTTACCAACCGTGTTCTAGCATAATCAAGAGAGTAGACAAACAGTAGAGACGAGGCACCATGTTAAGTGCAGAAATGAAAGAGAGACGGAAAGTGGAGAGAGAGGATTTTAATTATTCAATTCTCCTGGGTTACAAGTTCAGCTGCTCTAAATAGTTTCAACTACAAATCCATCATGGAAAGTATGCTGAATACATCTGTACAGTTGGATAACAAACTAACAAACTAGCTACTAACTACCAAGAAACAGTTACTAACTGAAAATAACCGAATTACAAACTGTACAGCTGACTTAATACACCAGCAGCGCCACCCGATGCGAAGTTTCCAACAAGCCATTTCCAATAGCCATCCCCATCTTTCTTGAAGTTAAAAAGCCTCTTGAATTAGTCTTTGAAAGCAAAGTTTAAGGCCTGAAAGCATATGCATTGATTTCAAATGTCAAAGAAATGAAAAGCTATTGAGCTAGAGAACTATTACCATCTTTTAAGCCATGCTTTAATTCCAATAATATCTTATCATGAAAGCAAAAGAACCGGAACAAACTTATTGGATAGAAATAGTTAATATGTTTTAATAAAACACGGATAACCAAACATAATAAAACTGGTCAAGCAAGCATTTGCATGATGAATTTAAATGCACCCATTCCCTTGGTGATTAGACTATATCTTGCATGATATATAATTATCAAAGGGGAAAAAGAAAAAAAAAATAATGGAGAGGGTAAGAGATGGATAAGATTGTTTATTGACCTGGGTGGGGAAGTATCTGATAACATTTGCAGTGTTGCCTCTCTAGAAAGCAAGTATTCCTTCATCCTTCCAATCCCTTTGTATGGTTCAGACAACCGACCGGTTTTGATCATTTCATCCTGATTCCAAATCAAGAGCTTAACTCTCTCTATTGGAGCAGCAGCTGTGTTGGAGACAGCGGCAGAAACCCCTCCCATGAGGAAATCCACCATAAAACCAGAAAAAGCCTTTATCCTTTACAATGTATCTTTATCTAATATATTTATTCTTATTTGTGCTTTAGATGACAATATAAATAATGACGAGCTTCATACTCCAGAGACGGGTGATTTAGATGAATTGGGTGTTATTCATCATTTTGGTGGTTCAAGTGACCGTGGAAGTTGTCAAGGATTAAGGATTACAGATGAAAACGATGAAGACGAAATTTAACTATTTAATCTTTTATGTTTATTGCACTTTTTGGATTCAACTATTACTTAGGCATTTTTTTATTGGTGATAGATGATGCAAAACTATCAAGTTGTAAATTTTAACTATTTAAGTTTTAAGTTTTCTTACTGTTGACATTATTCACTTTTTTGGATTCATTATTCAATTTTATTTATTTATTTATTTATTTATTTTAAAAATTTCCTGTTCAACTTTTTGACCCTTTTTAATTTTTGGGTTGATACCCGGGTCGGTTTTCAGAACACTGGACCTAATACATGAAAAATTAGCTTAAGGCAACTAAACTATTATCTGTAACCTATTAGTGCAGGGAGCCCCTTAAATTTTCTTTGTTTTCATCACTGAATAATCACTCATCAGTGTACCATACGCTATTCTAAATTGACTGGGATCTATAGATACAACATTCAATTATGTCTCCCGATACATGAAAATATCTAGCAATTTTTACCAAAAAAAGTTTTCATTGCTGTTTGAAATTCATTTATGGACAATCAATAATGTCCATACCATATAAACTTGGAAAATCTATCGACGTACAAAATAAAATGGAACGAAACTTACATTAACATCCATATTTAAGCAAGACTGGTACACAATCTACAAAAATTAATGCATTCACAGTAACAATTTATAGAAACCTGCTAGCTCAAGTTATTTTCTACAGGTCGTAATCCAATATATAGTTAACTAGAATTCCATCACACTTCTATTTAAAGGGATTAAAATTGCCAAATGCACAACAGCAAAATGCAGTGTACTAAAAAATTGACATAAACAATCAATTCTCATCATGAAGTTAACAAACGCAGGGAAACAGCAGTAAAATTATTTGAACTAAGATTAGTTTCATGTATGATCAAAGAAGCATATTAATATCAAAACAGAAAGAAACATGAAAGCTAAGATCCTCTCTGATCTGTCGTCCAGAAGTCAGAATCATTTACAAAAGCTAAAAGCTTAACGTGGCACACCGAAATACCAATTTTACCAAACAAGCTCCTCGAATTGCAGGATCCGAACCTGCGAGCCGAACATCCGTGAGAATCAGGCACCAGGTCCAGATTTGTAGCGATAGAACTTGCCGAAGGCGTGGAGCGCAGTAACAAAGCCGATGAAGCAGAAGCTCATGACAAGGACGACCGTGGGGCTGATCTTCAATCCCGGAGCATCGTCAGTGTAAAACCTCAGCATGTTGCTGCCCGATGCTCCTCCAGAGGAGGAGGAATTGGACGAGCCGCCTCCTAGCCTGCGGCGGCGCATGCCGGCAGACGAACCACGCGGGGGCATGCCCATGGTGCTCGGGCGGGACGTGGGACCGGAGGCGGCCTGGGACTGAGAGGATCCTCGAGGCATGGTGAATTGATGATATCGAGTTTCTGCAAGTATCAGGCGGCAGAACAGTGTCTCTGTGCGTGAGAAAGGGACCGTAGCAGTATGGTAAAAGGATTCTTAAGCGTTGTGGCCCCGCTTGGTTTCAATATTTCATCTCAAAAAATCAATTTTTTTTCTTTATTTTACTATTTTAATCATCATTTTTTTATTTTTTCATTCATAAGTGGAACTCACTTTTCCTTTTAACGATAAAAAAAAATCAATTTCTCATAATCATTACCGAACAGAATTATAGCTAGCCCCCATTTGATCCCATTAAATTTCGAGTTATAATTGAAATAAAATAAAGGGGTAATTACAGCATGGGAATCAAATTTTTAATTTGTTGCAATCGTCACCCTAAACCTCTCGAAATGTTGCAAAGGAGGCCCTGACGATTTTCATCCAAATGCCTGTTACTTGACTAAGAAATTTGACTTTGACCATATTTTTAATATTTTTAAAAGGGTAAAATTGTAACTTTTCATTACTAAATTACAATAAGTTAAAAATAAATTAGAAAAGAAAAAAAAAAAAAAAAACCTCATCCATAGCTAGGTATACACTGTCACTGCCATTCTAAAAAGAAAAAGAAAAACCCAACCCATCGCCACTGGCCACCAACCACCGTCACCCCACTATCACTCCAAAACCCATCCATCTACCTATGTTTATTTGGAGTATTTGCTTTCCAATCACAACCCCTCTAGCTTACCTTTTTTTTTTTTTGTTGATATCCAGGTATCCCAACTTACACTAGACTAAATCCTGGACCCTTGCCCCTAGAACCTTTAGGGGGATAAATCGTGGGTTATGCCTCAACTGGGTCACAGGTTCCCCCTACCGCCTATACAATTATGCGCACAAGAGATCCTCCTCCAAAGTGATTGCTCCATATCAATTTTTTGGCCGCAGGTTCCCACCAGGATTTGAACCTCCACCCTGCCGCTGGAAGTAAGACAATATTGATTGATCTACCAGTTGAGCTGTACCCCAGGGGGCCATACTTTTTTTATTTTTTGTTTGGCTGAATATCTTCATTTGTGTAATAGTGCTGAATTTATTCGTGTATTTGTGGATATATGTTGGATTGAGCAAAGCCCATTTGTCAATTTGATTTGGGAGTGTGATTTTTGGGTTCTTTACGTGTAGATTTGCTTATTTAATTTTTAGATGGAGGATAATTTGTTGGGTTTTGAATGAGGAGAAAGAGTATGTCGCTCTGTGAGAAATGAAGTTTTGTGTTTTGAGAGATGAGCTGTGTTTTTAGGAGAGAGATCTCATCATTTAGGCCCTATGCCGAGAAGAGAGAAAGTAGTTGCTTCTGAAAGTAAGACGAATGTTGGCGACCCTAGTGGATAGTGGTTGTTGGCCAATGGTGATGGGCTGGGGGAAGACAGATGTTTTCATTTTTTTCTTTTCTAATTTAATTTTTAACTTATTTTAATGTAGTAAATGGAAAGTTATTATTTTACCATTTCAAAAATATTAAAAATATGATCAAAGTCAAATTTCTTATCAACCAACAGACATTTGAATGAAAATCGTCTAAAATGGCCTCCACCAGAATGTTTCAAAAGATATGGGATGACAATTGCAACAAATAAAAATTTGAGAAAAGTTTGTTAATGTTTTAAAGGTTTAAGGTCTCTGCTGCAATTATCCCTAAAATAAATATTCTATATAAGATAACATTTGTCTATGTATTATGATAATATTAGATAATCATCAATAATTATCTCATTATTTTACAATAACTGTTTTATCTTTAATCAGTAAAAGTTATTATTATAAAAATAAAAAACCCGTTCAGTAAAAACTATGTTGGAAACCTTCAAAAATTTGTGCTATCTGTACACCGGCATGTCACTCTCCTCACAAGAGGAAGCCCACGCTTAAAAAAAAAAAAAATTGAAAAAGAAAGAACGAAAGCGTGAGCTCCATTGTGAGAGGAGTGTACGTATAGCAAAGCCCACCTTCAAAATGTTTCAATTTTGTAACAGAGGATAATTCATTCTCTACGATGTAACTCTTTTCTATCTTTCTTTAAACAACAATTCTTCTTTTATCAGAAATAAAAAGTTAGATTATATGCAATTTATCGTCACGATATAAGAAAACATCGACTATTGAAGTATAGGGAAACTTGATAATATAAATCGCTTCAACAGTTAAATCTCACTCTCTCTCCGTCCCCCCCATCCAGATAGTGATTATTAGAGAACCTGCTATTATTCTCTTGTTGGTGAATGGACTACTAATTCGCAGGATCTTTTGTTGTTCAAAAGGAATTTAGCAAATAGGAAAAATAAAGAATATAACGCACAAATTAGTCAGATCGTCAAAACTTTTCACTATACAAAAAATTGTTACAATCATATAGAATTTCACTTACCATCCCAATTCCCAAGTATTACAAAGAAAAGCAAAAAAAAAAAAAAAACTCGAGTTTTACCACACCTACTTTTCTACCATTTTTACAAAAAGTCTTAAGATGCTAGGCTCACAAGATTTTCTTTTCAGATCAAGCTCTGGCCACACCCAAAATAATGAAATACATCCACTATTTATGAGATCAATAACTAAGTAGACGAGTTTAATTTAAACTCAAACAAGACTCTTTTAACACAATAAGGATTCCTTCATGTGAGATCAAATTTTGCAAGGATTCTGCTCTCAATTTTAATTAGAAGTCTTTCATACAATAACTACCTTTTATTATTTGCAATAGAAGTCCTCCAACTTTTGAAACAATTATCCAACAATCTCCATCTTGCCGAAAATGAGTCAAAATCTTATCATCTCTTCTACAACTCTTAATCACAATACTTGAAAAAAATTGGTAAGCCTTTAACACACTTTAACGATCTCATACTCTACCATATGAATATAACCACTCAGAATTATCCGTAAACTCCGAGCATTTCGTCGGCTACATGGCAAAACAACCCTGCTGATAGTTATGATGCAACTTTCTTACTAACTTTTCTAGAAAGCTCATCAGCCATCGACATCAAAACACCACCACATACCTACACATCTTGCATCAAATGTCAGTCAACGTTATTTACAGATATGCTGACCACGTCAATAAGAACACATCCTCTATCATGGCAATTGACAACATGTCATGAGGATGTTCCCATCTTACTTTACAGCACCACATCCGCGTCCTCCTATGCCAAGAAAGACGTATTGCTCGACCCTAAGCAGTTAGCAGACCTGCTCCACCTTTTGGACAATTTCTCTTCACGTGTCTAGTTTGACCGCAATTCTAACAAGTTGCTTTCTTCTTCATGAAGCTGTCCTTCTTCCCCCTTTTAGTCACAAGCACCGCATTGTCAGATGGAGTATTCTGTCCCCTAATCTTCTTTTTTCTGAGATCAAGTTGCTTGTCACTTCTACGAAACTCACAATTTCTTCCCATACATCAAGATTGGCTTGATACGTTCATAGGTAGATGGAAGAGACCAAATGAACCGTAGTGCCTTATCCTCATCATCTATCTTCACTCCAATAGACTTCAAGTCTGAAACAATCCCGTTGAGAACACTCACATGGTCTGAGATTTTCGTACCTGGCCTCCATGCGCAATAAATGAAATTGTTCCTTCAGGTACAATTGATTTGAGAGGCTCTTCGTTTGATATAGTTATTCTAGCTTTTTCCATAGTTCATTTGCAGCAGATATCCCATGAATATTTGCAAGAACGTTTTTAGCCAGACAGAGATGTATTATGGTTGCAGCCTTCAAATCCAATTCTTCCCAATTCTTATCGTGTATACTGGATTTAGCTTCCTTGTCAAAACTCTTGGTTGGTTTTTCTTTCAAAGCTTTGTGCAGTCCAGTTTGAATTAATAAATCCATAACTTGTACTTGCCACAAGCCAAAATTGATATTTCAACATGTCATATTTCGACATATTTTTCCGTTGCTCCAATACTCCGAATCACCTGACGCACTGATACCACTTATTGGGAATTTTATGCCAATTTCCTTTATTTTTATTTATCCGTAGGATCTTTTGTTCTTCAGAAGGAATTTAGCAAATAGGAAAAATAAAAAATATTACACAGAAATTAAACGGATCGTCAAAATTTTTCACTATATGAAAAATTATTACAATCATATAGAATTTCACTTACCAACCTAATCTCCAAGTATTACAAAGAAAAGAAAAAAACTCGAGTTTTGCCACACCTATTTTTTCACCCTTTGTACGAAAAGTATCAAGATGCTAGACTCATAATATTTTCCTTTCAGATCAACTCTCTGACCGCACCCAAAATAATGAAATACATTCACTATTTATAGGATTAATAATTAAGTAAGAAAAGTTTAATTTAGACTCAAATAAGACTCTAAGAGTTTAATTTAGACTCAAATAAGACTCTTTTAACTCAACAAAAATTCCTTCATGTGGAAGACATCAAAACCTGATGTAAATTGGAGACCAAATTTTGTAAGGATTCTGTTCTAAACTTTAATTAGCAATTTTCCAGACAATAACTACCTTTTTATTATTTGCAATAAAAGTCCTTCAACTTTTAACTTTTGAGGCAATTACCCAACAAAAACTGCATGAGTAGTGCTCAATAATCAGTTAATCATTTTTATTGCTTTTTATCAAGTTGCAAAACCTCTCTTATGTATTTGAATCTTTTTTGTTGTTTTCTGATTGTGTTGTTAGAGGGAATTAGGCTTGGTGTAGATTCAAGAGCTGCTTCTGAAGTCATGGAGAAAACTGTGCTGTTCGAGCATGAAACTAAAGTAGTGCTCGTAAAATATCACTTGATTGTGAATGACATCAAAAGGGTTGAACTTTACATGGTTATCAATGTAATGGATGTGAGTTGAACTTCGTCCTAATTCTTATTAGAACTTAGCGTATAAGAGATTGAAAAACACTCTCAGTTTGTTTACGCATTGATAGCTTTCTTGATAGATTTTAAAGAAAGTCATTTTTCACAAGCAGGTGGTTGGTATTCTGGATTATGGGCTTGCAAAAGTAGCAGATTTATTAGCAAAATATGTTACCACTTCAGTCANTGATGCATTGGAT